ACAACAGCAACACAKATTATGTGTTGCTATTGTGCRAATCGCTGATCCAGTACAAGCAGGATTKAGTTAAAATTATTTATAACTCGCTTTAATCTATCATGGTTGTTATTAATAATGTAGTGTGTAAATGCAACTGAATAAATATCAAGACATAAGACTAGGGGAATGTATTCAGTTCTAGTATTCTTTTAAGAATTAAAATTTTTAAGTTGTTATAATGGCAGTTAACTCTTATTCGAGCTGATCTCCATCATAGTTGCCGTTATGTTGAAATAGTTGCCAAAAAAGAGGTGAATTTCGCGATAACCTTGGCGTCTCGTCGACGCTTCGGAGTCTGCACYTTCCGRGAATTCATCTCTCAACCACGCCTATTACTAAAGTAACTTCACCCATCATTAATCATATAAAACACACACAGTTACGTTATTGATGGGAATTGCATTTTCTAAGCAGGAACCCTTTGGTGTTGTTTTCACAATTGTTATAATTATTTCCTAAAACATTGTTCAGTGAATAGGAAAAAAGGTCGAGTGGTGGAAACAACKTTYWGGCTTCCAACTTTCARGCAAAACGGAAGAMAAGKGAAGTTCARTCATACGAATAAAGAAAACTAGAAAATTAACAACCTATATCTAGCAAACTCTTTTCTTTCAAAAGACAAAAGGTCTGAAATATTTCAATATRTGAACTTAAAAGTTCATATTCTTGGGTTAAATGATATAGATATTATATATCAGTTTTGTCATTTCTACAGAGTTCATCATGTGCGGSTTTGACTCAGTTTTATAGCTCACTAGGAATTGTATATTCATTCGATTATTTTTGGAAGTCATGGAGAGAAACTTGACCTTGATGCAATCCTTCTCAAAGAACAGGTGTTRCTATTTTGCCTCCAAACATTCAGGCTTTTAACGATGGTAGACAAATGGTAGACTTTCTTSTCCAATTAATTGAGAAAACTCGACGTATTGATAGCCGGGATGTCTAGCAAAAAGAGGCTTCGAGATCATAATCCCACTTAAGCACCATACAGCGTCAAATTAAAAGTAAACAAAAACTGCTCCGTGATGAAATAGGCAAAAAATAGATGGTAAAAGGCAGGAGTTTTTTTCTCCATGCAGGGTTAATTACTCTATAGAAAAAAATCCAACGGACAAGATGCCATATATTGTTCTCAACGTAGACCAAATTTTTTTATTTTTTTTTTTTTATTTCATTAAATCTGTGTTTGTGGTGTTTCAATTTTACTGTTTTATTTTTCTGTTCCCGCTACTGTGACACGTCTATCAGTTTGGCTTATCACGTTTTCTCTTTTTGGCAAATTACTTTTTAATATAACTTTGAATATTATTTTTGCAGTTAATTTAGGTTTGACCAGGTATTGGGCTTCTCTGTTTCAAGGTTTTCTTTTTCAATCTTTGATCCATATAGTTCTCTCAATTCTGGAGTATTATTTCAGTAGAATATGGCGTCAACTATCATCTACTTAGCGATATTCAATAACGACTTTATCGAGAAAATGACACTGAGAGGCCCTAAGAGTCTCTCTTTTCCAGCCCTGTCAGCACAATTGCTTTCAAAAGAAGACCGAAATTGGTCACATTAACTAAATTTATTTTGTCAGTCAATATAATTTCCAGAAGGTGAAGAAACGAAGCAGAAATGTTTTAAAACGTATATTTTAGTTTAACGACAAGTAAAATTTAGCTTAGACTTATCGATTCTGTAAATATGGAATCGTATTATATCAATATTTCTTGCCAACATCAATGAACGTAAGTGTCAACTTCATTGCCTCAAATGTCAGTTCTTATCTTTCGGTCTAGCTTTTACAAATGAAAAATTTCCGAGTTGCGGGCTACAAAAATTGAGGAACAATAGGCACTAATTTCACCTTGTAATTCAGCGGACGTTGAGGTGTCAAGCACTTTCGAAAGCCGACATTTATTGTATTTGATAAAAAATATATATTTTTARTCAAGATGCTGGTTGCTATAGAAGTGTTGCTAGTTTTACAGCACTAGTGACATAATAAAAATAAAATTCAAATCTGTTGTTTGCCTTCAAGCAAAATCTCAGATCAAACAAATATCATCTCGCAATATATACCGCTGTTCAATAAGTGCCAAAAAGTTGCGAATTTGATAGATTTTTTTCTTAAAATGCTTTTTTCATTAAAAGGCTCTTGAGTTGTTTGGTTTTCAAGTGATGTGAATGTAAAAGTAATAATTGGTTGCGAAGGGAAATGGAAAAAAAAAATTTAGGAAAGGAAAAGGTATGTGTCATAAAAAAACACWAATTTTAAATTAGATGACTTGAGTCTTTTTGATGCACAGAAAATTAAGGCTCAAACGCATAACGGTCATTGGCGGGCGCTAGTATGTTCGAGCCATTCTTGTTATTTTTCGTGGAATGTTTTAGTCCAGATTTCATTTACGCTGTAACGTCAAACGAGCAATGTAGTAAACATTTTGTCAATATATCTTGTCCACAACGGTGAATTCGCATTACCAGTGCAATGTGTGGCCCCTATAAGTGTCGGCTTTTTTCCTTGAAGTGGAGTTGTTTAATTAAAATGAAGAATCATCCTGTGTTTATTTGYCTTTTCCTTCCTATATCTAACCAAATTGACAAACATATTGTCGAGAAGATGCAAATCCCTTTCCATGAAATGAGATGATATTAAAATTCATGATATGAAGGATTCGGTTTTTCGGATTTTAATCACTTTGATTTGTCCTCCATCTTGATTTTTATCGATTTAATTGACGCTGAAGCTTACGTACTTTTCATTATCTCTTTTCGTTTGATTTGAAACCTYTGGTTTCATAAAGAACAATGAGTAACATCTGCAAACCACTTTAATCTCAATTTGGTGAATCTTTGGAGCACTTTGGACGGTGAGAAATCAAAAACAAGAAAACAGGAAGACATTCACAGTAGATCAAAAAAATAATGACTGAGCTTTCAAAATGACTTGCAACAGTGCCGAAATCTTCAAAATGTGTGTTATATTATCTGCACAGGATGGAAATGCTCTGTACTTAGTTGAGAGGTCGTCTCTCGAGGCAGATCTGTTGATAATTTTATTTATCGCTAGAGATAATCTWAAAGTTTTGTTGCCTGAAGCAATTATTTATAACTGAAGCTTATCAAAAAGTACAAAAAGCCTCGCAGCTAAAGTTGGTGTCAGAAGTGGGATCAAATTCTATCGTTGGCGAAATATTCCCAAATAGCGTTTTTTTTTTTTTTTTTGTTCTTTTATTTTGAATGATTTGATTTGTTTTGATTTACTAAATATTTCAAAATCTATTAAATCCGGCGTCAACATGAAATAAAATGCTTATCAAAGTGTATTTTTAGGAAGGAAAATAACTCGTTTAAATATGTTTTATCCAGACATACAGCTGTGTTGATTTTTCATTACTTCAGGCAGTCAGCAGGACATCGAGACTTGGTTATATACAACGACCCACTGRCCCACTGCATTTATACCCTGTTATTGTATTGTATGTATAACTCTAGGCATTGCCTTTGGGTAACTGTGAAATTCAAGGACATCAACGGTGTTGAGAGGCTTGAAAATTGCAAACCAATAAACTTTACTGAGGGTAAACATTTAAATTACCCAAAAAGAAAATATGCATTAAAAGGTTCAGGGATACTAGAGAAACTTAAGAAGTCAACATTTCAACCAAACCATTTAAAAAACRCTTCCACAAGACACTCGTAAARCACTGAAATATTAAAAGTTTGATTGAAAACCCTACATGCATTTTGTTGTTTGAAGATTTGTACTTCCGAGTGTCCGATGTTCGAGAAACAGGTTTTGTGTGTTTAACATGCGTCAGGAATACACATGCTGGCACGTTCTTCCCGTGAACATAGCATCATAAGCTGCTATATATCCCGAAGGATGATTTAATGAGCAATTTGAGGATTCTAGAAAAATAGAAAATTAGTTTTCCCAACGTATCGTTGTATATGTAAAATTGTTAACTTGTCATATTGTTGTCACCGTGACGTCACCCTATAACCAATCACCGAGCCAATCAGCGCACGCTTTGAACATGGATATTGAGACTACGCCGCCAACGGAAAGATGAGGAATTACTAGAGAATCGATTGAACCATCATCCACTTAGATAAATACAACAGACTTAATGAGAAGCCTTGTGATGAAAGAGATAAGACGGCGTTCATAAGCAACACTAGCTGTCTCAATTTCTTCATTCGCCATCTATCACTAGACTGTGAAGTTGGCTCTCTGTCTGAGCAAACACGAATTATTCAAAGTAATTCGCACTCAAGACTTTAGACCATCAGTATAACAAAGTTRTCGTTCAGCAGTTCAGTACTGCCAAGTCGACTCATCAGTTGCAATTAGTTCTTGTCCGAGGTATTGCCCAGTACAATTTGCACCTTCTGCAGTTCATGAACGGTTTCAGCAGCTGGTTATCTATACCATTATTCAAAACCGCACGACTCTAAATCCTGGAAACAAGCCGMCACTTTCAGATTCGTTGGTTAAGTCAGTAATGAATGGTACATTCAACACCTCGTCTTCAATACCAGCATTTCAAGATGGTCCGATGATCCAATCTAYMCTGCAAGTAATCWTTCTTGTACTGGTTCTCGTGGTTGCTACGCTGGGAAATGGTTTCGTTGGGTATTGTGTATTTGCACACAAGAATCTRCAAGTCCCAACCAACTACTTTCTTGTTAGCCTTGCYGCGGCAGATTTTCTGTTCGCCATACTTGCTCTGCCGTTTCGAATTTATGACATTACTAAATACCATGTCTGGCTCCTGAGTGTAGATGCATGCCGGTTCTGGGTATGGCTGGACCTGCTCTTTTGTAGTGCATCGGTAGCGAACTTAGCTKCAATAAGCGTCGACCGATATTTGAAAATATCTTCACCTTTGACTTACAACTCCAGAATGACGAGAAGACGCGTTCGTTTCATTTTATTAATTCTGTGGGGATATTCTGCACTCCTAGCATCACTGACCTTAGTTGAATGGTCGTCCGATCCCAAAGATCAGGCAAGAGGATCTGTAGTAGACGAGAATAAAATCTGTCGATGTGACGCAACAATTTTCCTGACAATCATTTCTACCTTAGGATTTTTTGTTCCTCTAGCAATAATGCTACTTATGTACTTTTTTGTGTTCAAAGTTGCTGTAGTTCAAGCCACAAGAGTCGCAARACARCAGGAATCCCTCAATGGACTTTCAAAGAAAGGACGCAAACGGCGCGCAAAGTCATCTATCGCACTGCTAGAAGTCAAGGCCACAAAAACGCTTATTGTTCTTTTGAGCGTCTTTTGTGTTTGTTGGTGCCCTTTCTTTATTCTTTCTCTGATAGGACTTCATAAAGTAGAACTCTATAATGGCCTACCAAAGTGGTTTTTGATATTCTTGAAAGTCGTGTTCGTGAACGTTCTTCCAAACCTCAACGCTGCTCTAGATCCTATAGTATATACTACMAATAACCATCAGTTTAGGACAGTAATCCGAAGAATGATTCGCAAGCACAGGCAGCGAGCAAGAGGTCTGATGTTGTCCAATGTCTATTCTGACAACGGCTTGCTGTCKGTTAGTGATTCAAAGAATAGACGAAACTCGTCGTTTCGCTCAAGGACTACAACTACTTCAGTGAAAAACAGTCTGGTTCCTCTATCTCAGACATAGAGCACAAGTCCACATGTTTGAAATGAAAAGACATCTTAATCTGAAGTTAGATATTAGTCGTGGGTTCTTACTTAACCTGATATTATGTACTGAATAAATTCAAAACTGATTCAAATCATTTTATTCTCATTATCTTGTATTTTATTTCTTTTCAGACTTTTTTTAGCTACTTTCTTTCTCATGTAAAGCAATTTTTTTACGTTGAAACCCCTGTTTGATTCAAAATGAGTTAATCCTTATTAAAGTGATTATCTTTTATGACGAAAATGCCATGTTTTATTTCGTGAATGGGTATTTTCTCAAGATTTTATTACTTCCAAAGTCTGACGCTGTGACAAGGTTGTCCATTAGGCATGATGAATATGATACCTAAATACACAAAAACCTATCAGAACTACAGATAGTCATTATTTACTCATTACAAACCTGCCAAAACCACTTTCGTGCCAAKAAAGTATTCTTTATCTATGATAGAAAATGCTACTTGCTAGCCACTCGATCAGAGCCGTTTAACAATATTATACCAATGGTCGACAGCCAGTTATCGAGGCAACGACATAATGTTGTCATTTTGCATTATTAATCCGACATATCTGAAGTTTTAGTGATATTCGCTTGTACTTTGMGAAGGAGATTAAAATTAACAGATGGCTGATCGTGACATTTTCAGTGTTTTTTTGCATAAGGTATTTTTAGATCTTAATTGACAATTATTCACCTCAAACGAGGTGAAATACTGACCAGTATTTACGTTGACATACACGAGGTAAATATGTCACCCATAGAAACAGGCTCTGTTCAAATAATTCTCTTATTAGGTAAGGAATGGCTGAAAGAGCGAACGAGAAACGACACAGAAGAACTTTTCGCTTCCGGATGATATTAGCTGCAAAAAGCCGATTACATTTCCAAAACACTTTTAGTTTAAAAAAGCAATAAAAATCCCTCCCTTTTTAWAACTATTGCATATCACATGAAAATTTGGTTAATTTCCTACTCCTTAATTTCTCAATGTWATACAACCCTGCTTATAGCCGCCCTTAATTTCTAAAGCAAACTATTTCATGCGCGCTTTCTCATTRTGGTTCTAGTATTTCGACAYTTTTATCCAAGCAAAGGTATCGCCTGCAATAAAGTAAGCTTATTTTCAAATGTGTTGATAATTTCTTTATTTCTTGCCGCTTGCTATCTCTAGAAGACCCGTGACGTATGTTGGTGCGAAGACCCAACAGCGCAAACCGCTTCCACTAAAAAATGCTTATAATATATCCCTGCACGAGGCGGCAATCGGCACTACTGTTTTTCTTAGATAAACGTGCGCTTAAAGCGGTATTCATCGATCGAAAAGCAAGCTGAATCAGCTTTCGTAAATGAAGATGCTGTCTTTATATAAAGCGACGCCWTAATTTTATTATTATTTCTAATATGGTAAACAGTAATGTAACCTATTGAGTATACATWGAGCCTTTTGTCTTTTCGACTATTAAAAAAGAGCGGGAAAAGATACCTGCGCGCGTACGCATTTTTGGCGGGAAAATTGGCCTTGACATTCACTGAAAAACTATGAGAAAATTGTCATATTAGGGTTTTTTGCTTGTTTATACCAMTAAAATCATCAAAGAACGAAGAATTAAGTGCATTTGTATGTATTTTGATATATAATTTCTACAGGTCTTTCTCTTCTTTTTCTTTTTTGGATGAAGTGGCGCCGAACAATTTTCAATTGGAGTGGTCGGAACTAGTCCATAGAATTGCTTACTGATTAGCGTGTTGTTATCACTCACTCAGTTATTGTTATTGTTATCCCTAAGTGAATTGTCGAAAACTGAAACGGACATATGGAAGCCAATAAACAAATGTTCTGTTTATAGCTTTGCAATGCAAGAAATAGTCCTGTGAGTGACTTTAGCAAGTAGAAGCCGCCGGAAAAGTTGTTCAGTGAAACTTGTCTGATATTGGATTATGGGAGTGTGCTTGTAATAAGCCTTCTCCAAACCCGACTACATGGAGGATTAATGAACTTCTTTTTAGCTCATCCAAAGCGAATCAAGGATGTCGTTAAGAGTATCAAAGCTACTAACGAGCTTAAAACGAAAGAAGTAGTCGAGTAATAATAAAAAAAACTTTCAATCTGTCGTTGTTTTTGTTCATTTTACTTTCAACACCCGACAACATTTCCCAAATCTATTTTCTTTAACGAGAAAAGTTTTGCAAAAGTTATTTCAAGACAGAWATTGATGGCTTTGTTGTCGTAAACAATTATTTCAAAACAGATGCAGCGAGAATGATATAATTAAGATACTGTGAAAAATGTTTGTGTCAACAGATGGACAATATATTTTCATGAAGAAATGATATTTGTTTAAAACTCATTCCATGATTGTTATCWTCCCTTAATGAAGCATTTACCGGAACCGGTTTTTTTTGCCTCCGACGGGCATCTTGCGGATTGAGAAAGTCTTTAAGATAAAAAGCACCGTTTTGGGTTTTTTCGTTGTCCTACGTTCAAGATGGGTGAAAAATGTGCACGCATTCCATCCATGCGCGTGCTCATCTGACGCGCACTAGGACGCGCGCGAATAAAGACAGCGGTTAACTTTTTGAATCAAGTGTGAGCATTTTTCTGTTTCGACTGCTATGGCACAAAAACAATTAACAGAAAAATMCTATGATAAAARCCATGTTTTTGTTTTACAAGATAGCAATGGCTTTCATGTAATGCTGCGCCATAAACTTGGAAAGRARAGCAGAACACTGRAGACAAGGAAAAAYKATATTTCTTCGCGAAAAAMTGCTGATAGCCTTTCCCTGGGCACKGAAACAAGTCCTTYWTCAGAGTACCCTTTGAAGAGCAAGTCATTGTCAGCCGCAAAGCTAATCGACTGTTATTTATACATAGGAACATTACATATTRATGAGAAAAATGTCCTTTCCGTACTCGAAATAGCTCTACGACTAGGGCTGACCGCTGTACAAGACGCCTGCATGCTCCTTCTCWCCAAGTCACTTASATTTGGGAACTGKAATGAAGTGTTTCGTCTTGCTAAAGACTATCGCAATAATACATTGAAGAATGCCTTGACGAAATTCATGAACCAGCACTTTTCAAAGTGTTTCACAAGAAAAGATTTCTTAACTCTGACTGGATCCTTGACACGAAGCAGACTTGATCGACAAAGTCTGAAGTTTCTTCTACGACGGTTSAACGCGGGAAAAACGACGAAAAACATGCTAAAATTCATGTCAGAAGTACTCAGTAGCGAAGCAAAGATGTGGGGATGTTGTTTTAAAGAGTATCTAAAAAACAGTGATAATTTGCGAGCAAAGGARACTGCTGTGCGTCACAATGTTGYCAYCAMGAATAGCAATYCTCAAAGTCACACCTTTTTAAACAACTTAGCAATACAGCCTTCAAGGTCCAACSTCCTTTATTCTCCAATCAATACAATGTTAACCCAAGGGATCGTRSTTGCTGGAGGTATTACAGACGTGCAGAATSCTAAACCCATARACTCKGTATTCTTGTATGAYCCGAGAAGTAGTAGATGGYGTACWCTTCCATCCATGTCCCGTCCAAGGTATAATCACTCCCTTATTTCTTTCAACGGTACAGTGTTTGCTATAGGAGGCAGCACWATTTCAAGGGATAACGCTCTAATTGAGACTAAACGAGACATCAGTATCACTGACACTATGTTTAACTCTTCCATTATTCAGACTCAAACTAACTCGGTCGAACACTACTCGATGGAACTTAACAAATGGGTTGAAATGYTACCGATGATTTTATCCCGAGAGGAGCACTCTGCTGTAGTCGTTAGCAATCAGGTGTTCAYAATTGGCGGCCATGATGGAGTCAGYCAGTTGTGTTCAGTCGARAAGTACGATCTCAYYAGYGGTCWGTGGTCACTGGAGAAACCTATGACACGTCTGCACACCGGAGCTGGCGCGGCTACTGATGGCAGAYACATCTACGTTGTTGGWGGATACGATGGAATCACGTGGCTAAATAGKCTGGAATGTTACGATACGTTGACGAAGAGCTGGTCAMGTGACAAGCTCTCTCCCATGAGCGAAAGGCGTGGCTATGCTGGGGTTGAGATGTTGAAAGATGAAATTTTTGTGTTTGGAGGAACAAATGGCTCCAATCATCTAAAAACGTGTGAAGTGTTTAATCTTGGTAAGAMAGAATGGAGAAAAGGACCTCCTTTGAATCAAGCAAGACTCAATGCAGCTCACTGCGTTYAYGATGATAAAATTCTAGTCATGGGAGGAGAGTGTRATGGAAGGTTTCTTGATACGGTGGAACAGCTTAACATCAGCCAGTGGGAATGGAGAAYCGTTGGTAAATTACCGATCAAAGTTGCTGGTTTGCAATGTGCCGTTTTGGCTAAATATAAATGAAATGAATAATATTGGAAAAATAAATMTGTCTRCGTACTTGAAATGAATTTGATTGTGGTTTTGACCATAYCTTTTCAATATCTTTCTCTTAGTATTTTCATTTACTTTCACTCTAGTCTTCTTCTTTAATCACATGCATTTTTGTGACACTTTTTCGCTGTCCGTGAAACCATTAAACAGGGCTATTTGATTTTAGCTTTATACCTTTGAATAATGACATTTTACTAATCATTCTAATCTGGATACAGATCAGAAAGTCAAGTAAACAAGGTAAGGAAACAGTTTCGCTTGTTATCCAAACTCGACATATTGCATGGCAGACAAATTTACTGAACAACTGACTCGCTTATTCCCCACGTAGCGCAGTACAGAGGGTTTTCCGTTGATGTGTTAGAATTCATTTCTGAGCAATGGGAATCGGTGCGCCATTTTCGATTTGTTGTACTGAATATACAACGCGAAACAGCTTTAAAAATGATCATTGCCATTGCCTAAGTCACTGCAACCACAGTCCATTCAGTAATGTTGTCGAACGGTGATAGCACATTTCTCGTTTCGAACCAAACTCCTAAAAGAAGATTCTGTCGTTATGACTGGAGAATTTTGTTTCACGGGTTTGATGTCTTAGCTAAAATCACTGTAACWCTAGTATTATCATCATGTAGATCTATAAGCTGTGAAAACAACGATGAAAGCAAGTCAGTACTATCTATTTGCTTGTTGTATTGCCTTTGCTGTTCTCTGCAACCTTCAGMATCACATWWCAACATCCTCTATTATTGAAAGAACACGTGAAGGTATGGAAATGTGGAGTTCCTTGGACTCTTCCGCTCATCTATTTGTCTGCACTTATTCAGAACACAACATCCACCGTGTCAACCATATATCTCAAGGTATGGTTCCCTTTCATTCCAGATCGATCTTCTTCCTCGAGTACCACTGGATGGCTTCCCGACAATAATGTTAAGAAGGAGTACAAGACAGGAGTGTTAAAATATATATTGCGAATCAGATAGTAGCTACAGCTTCAACTAGTAGTACACATATCCTGAAATAAACATTTTAATAACGAGTCTTAGCTTACAGAGTTTAGTCCTCTAACAAGTACATAAGAATCGACTTTCTTTAAATAAAACTAATGGAATAGACTGTTTTACCTTTTTTTTTACTTAAAGATATCATTTTGAGCTTTTAGGTAAGTATATGATGTTCCTAAAAAGATGAAATTACGAAACGTATACTGATCTACTCTGAGATCTCATAAACKTTTTTAGGTGTGACAACATGAATCTACCCTATCGGCATTTGGGTTTGACTGAATTCTATTCGCAAAAATAAATCCGTACTTATGCTATAWATAATTATCTATTGAAACATAAACCAAAGAACATCACAATTTGTATTTTTATCAATGAATTTTATTTTATTACCTGCTAGTATATACATAATCTATGTCTTCAACAGCACAATTTGAATTTAGTCGTTGGTGTATACAAAAKGTGTGGGYGTGCTACTGTTTTTAGCYTGCTGCTTTGTCAAATTATTATACATTCKGGTTGGTTCAAGTGCTTGATATTGATTCAGAATAGCTTAGTAGAAACAGTGTGGCGTTTCTACCCTATTTGACTAGAACTGACTTACGTAATATACTCAGAGTTCGCTAATTGAAATCCCGCTTTCCGTTTTGTGTCTACTTGACTATTACACCTCTGCCATTTCATTTTGTTTCAAGGATTTTGAGTTCTCATTGAATAACGTTGCATCTATTTCATTAATTAAAAAGGGAATACCTGTGAAAGGTGACCGTTGCTCATAGTAACAGTCAAACAATGTTTCTAATTCTACTCTTCCTAGACAGTACTGTTTTCTCGTTGACAATTCATGATTGTATTTCTAACTCTTCATGTTTCTGCAATTACTGAACGACTGCAGACTAGTTTGAAAGTATGTCATCCTTGTTCGTATTTGTTCTGATCAGAAGACAACAATCTTCGTTGTTTTCAGAAAGTTTATTAATTGCTTGGTGATGAAGACCTAGTCGAGCTGCGATGAGGAGAGTCCTTTGGSGAACAATCGTCTCTTGAAGCGCTTCCTTTTATAACAGAAGTGCGCTCCATACTGTGGCCATTGCTCATAGAAAGAAGCGCTGCGGAGGCGTTGCGCACTCGTTGTGAATCGTGCAACTCTTCCAATGTCGCTATATGTTCCTTWGTAGKGGAGGTTAGRGGSACCTTTTGTTCCGTCGAWGGTGGTCTATCATCTGATGACAAAGAAAGCCTTCTAGTAGGTAATTCCACGTCTCTGGGTGACCGCGGCGATAGATCTCTCATCTGACTAGGGCTGATAGGAACGTGAACTGGTCCAATCCCTGGGTAGTAGATACACGAAGGACATTTCATCCCTGTACACCCCTGTACTGATGGACGGATTTCTGTSGGGCTTAATGGAAAACCTGGTCGAACACCTTGAGGAAAGGACCCAAAAACCGACATACCGTTCCTTAGTGCACCGGGTGGAGGCGGATACAGAGCGGGAATGCTGGGTAGAAGCATACTTCCACGCGCTCGAGCTTCTTCGTGACTCGGCAAAACACACTCGATTGTCTGTACTAGATCCCCACCACAACCTTTAAGGATTAGTTCCAGTACGTTCTTTTTCTGYTCTGGAAACAAGCGCATCAARATTCCCATGTAACGAGTRTGCTCYTTTATGCGAACTTCATCTTGGTAAACGTAGCCGAGGTCGATACTTTTCGTCCGCGTTCGTTTGCCGTCGGGAGRTTGTCGGTGGAGCCCGGTTGTTRTATGATCGTCKTCCTCGGAGCGTTGTCGTTTTAATCGGTTTTCGTAGTTGTTTTCCATCATGGAGTCTGTTGGAGAGAGAAAAATATTTGTTCAGTTTTATGGCTTTCTTTGTTTACTTTGGTGTAATGACATCAATCCACAAATTATTCACAGCACTATCATGTTTAATGGAGTATTCACTTTTGCAGTCATAACATAGCATGCAAATTATTGCTKTTTATCTTAATTATTAATGATTTTCTTGTTTTTTGGGGAGACTTTTTGGAAGCATGTTATGTTGCCAAATTTTATTGGAATAAGCACAATAAAGAGCTCGTCTAAGAGTAAAGTTACGTTTACATAAACTACGACTTGTAGTAATTGATACAAGGTATTAAGAGATAAAAATAATAATTAATACAATAGTAATTAGATGGTCTAACTATGTTTACTGGGTTGATAACATATACCTATATATAACACGTACTCGCGGGGCAGCTGGATTATCTCTGTCACCCAATCAATTAACCCATTGAACATCATCCTTTCAAATCATTTCACAACATGACATCGCACGTACTTCTAGTGCTCTCATAAGTGTGCATATGTTATTCCTTCACCAGATGAAGTATAAATATTATTAAATGACCAACATCTTCTGTTATTTTATGATTTTATAAAAGCTACAGTATTATATATTGTTCAAATAGGTTAATATTCTAGGTTTACATCGAAGTTTCAGTTCGTTCTTCTKCCCATGAAAAATCGCGTGCCGCGCGACCTTACCATCATTTTCAACCGCATTGAATTTTCCTACTGACTTGATAAAAACTTCTTTCTAGTTGTAAATATACATAGAATATAGAAGTTTGTATATAAATATCTCACGAAGTTATCCATGTATCTCTAAAATCTATTAGTTGTACAATATACTTCAATGGTTCAAATGTTAAACGCCTGCGGTGATAACAGTCTAACATAGCTAAAAAAAACACTAAAAAAAYCTTYTCTGGGTTTGTTTTCTCTGTACTAACTACATCTCGCTCAAAGTCAAGCATCCAGCAATTAATCGAAAGTCAAATTGTACTTTTTGACAGCACATTAGTTCTTACCTTGTACATTGAACAGTGTCCAAACAATACTATAAGTAGCCTGTTTTCGTGACAGAATCACAAATTAAAAATACCTTAATCAATATGTTAATGCTGATCTCAACTACTTAATATGCGAATCGTGATCAACTGATCTACTTACAAWTGTCAATATCTGTAGCGTGRATGATCTAGCCCTAAACCCGAAAGCCAATTACAAGTAATATGTTGATCGCTACATTGCCACTCTTTGGAATTTCAAACATGCTGTACTCAGACGTACGAGTGCAGTAACCGTTACTAGCTTTGTCTCCACACACGTACATTAAATGGGCTCAAGCAAGACGAGGCACTGAAAACACTCCAAGTATTTGAACAATTTTGATTCTTTACTAACTAAATGACGTATTTTAATTTGCTGCAGGCAATCTTCAGTCTTGAAAATAAAAGATTTTAGAAGTTGACTTATTTGGTGCTGTTTTTGAAGGGTAAATGACGTCTATTATTAGACCTCGCGTTTAACTGCATCATTCGGTGGATATTTAGTTTTTTGTTTTAGTTTTTCGAAAAGTCTAAAATGATTTTCTTTGTCAGTGTGATTTGGTCACGCGCATGCATCAAATTCCTTTTTAATATCCCAGTATCTTTTCTTTATAATAGAAGTGTTCCGATAAAGTAGAATGAAAAAACTCAAAAATAGCACTTCGCGTGACTTTTTCATTGCTTATGTAACAGTTGTGTGACTCGGTTCAGTAAGTTCACGAACTTTGGAAGTTACGATTTTGCTAAACAATTGAGTTCTACGAGGATCAAAAGTAAGCTCTGAAATGTCTATTAATKAATTTATATCGATGTTGTTTCAACCAGAAGAGAAACATCATGCAGCACATAGCGCTCTTTTGGCAAGCAAAATTCAGGGAAAAGTTTTTAAGTCTCTGTTCCCATTGATGTTAAAATGCTAAAACGCTATTTTAATCAAGGAAATAATCATAATAATGATGAATAATAATTGATAATACCATGTAAAACGTATCGCTCTAAACCCATGAAACAAAAATTAAAAATACTAGTGGAATCTCCAACCCCCCTCTGAAAAGACGACAAATGTAAACTACTATCAAACTGTGTACAGTTGATATACGATGACGCGTTTTCATGCAAGCACTCTATTTATATTTGTTAGGATGCTATGACGGCCTTTCTTGTTCTAAGTAATACACGTCATAGCGTGCTTATAGAAAACAACATGGGCCATCACCGCGTCATGTCTATTTGTGTCTTCTACGTGCATTTCGACTCCCGATGTTTCTAGCTCTTTTATTGGTTGCTATGTATATGTTGACTTTTTTTTCAGATAGTTTTATTTTTATAGCCCAAGGCCTCTCTAAAAGTAKAGACCCCCTGATGTCCAACTATACAAAGTCTGCGTAGGTGGGTTGGTTTCTTGGGGGATTGTGGTAAATTACTCTACAAAACTGTAAACAAATACAAGTCTCCTGCTTTCTAGAACTGTGCGAGTGGGACTACTGAAGCTAAATTATGATAAAAARCCGATAAAGTTATTAATTCATGTTCCATAGCTTTTCAGAGTATTATATAGWTAGTAAAAACTCTCGCTTGAAAATAAGTCAATTTTGGTAAATGGTTTTKTTAGTGGACCTTTGTTCACGATGCAAAGATCAAAATATATGCCTTACATCCCTAATCTGAATCTCTAGATATTATAGAGTATCAGGGGCCCTCTTGTCCTGTGTAATAGTTGCTATACCATCAATTACGCTGTCAACAAAAATGTCTTTTATGGTATTTTTGTTTTTTTCTTCTTCTCGAAATCTGGGAGACATTCACTGTCTTTTTCTAGTATCAATCTATGCATAGTAAAACTGTTTCTAAATTTTGTGAACTAATGAGTAAAATATGGCAAGACTTATAGAATTTTCTTATCCGTGATTTTTTTTTATTAATAACAATGGGCTCCAAATTTTAACAGATATTTACCCGGCCTGAGCAATATGGTTCCCATACTGTTTATTTACAATTTTAAACTCTTTAACATTTGATCTAAAATCGATATAAAAACAGCTATTAAACAACTTGGTATACAAAAAGATAAAATCTTAATAGTGAAATGGTGGATTGAAACACTGAACAAACTGCCACGACCTCAAAACAAATGTCTAAAGTTACCCTGACCTAGATGTGGTTGTTTGTGCATATGGTGCATGCAGAACATGCCTCAACTAATCAGGCAAATAGACACTAGTTGTCGCTAACTGCAATGGGCTATTATTCTAACTGCAATGGACTATTATTCTTTGACTATTAAAATTGTTTTTGAAGAGTCTAACAATGACACTACAACCTCTTTCAAACATAAATGTTCTTATAGAATAGAATTATTAGCAATAATGATGAACTATAAGTCATCTTTGCAACTGTTTCTTAAACGATACATCACATTTGATTACTAAAGTAGTGTATCAGACTCAAAGTTGACTAGTCTTATGTAGCGTATACAAAAGCTGACGTACCTCTWGTRTTAGTTGGTGTAGAGCAGGGCGACGTCCGATCACTATTTGTGGCTGCACTACCAATACTAGAGCTTGGCGATGTTGGACATTGTTGATGTTCTGAGTCTTGTCTAAAAGAATCATTGGGAGAAGTCTGGTCGTGGGTATTCGCTAGTGGAGAGCGGCGGTAGAGATTATAAGGATAGCTTGTTGTAGCTTCTTCACTTTCTTGTTGTCGTCTCAGTGCRACYTGTGCCGCCATGACACGTTGTCTCTCTGCAATGAGGTTGCAATCRGCACACGTGCAGTCTTTCCATTTGCAGAATCGTTTGTGCCCTTTGAGGATCGAGATTACACCATGGTTTCTACAGCGAGCACATTTTGGGGAGCGTTGCTGCTGCTGTTGTTGTTGTTGTTGATGTTGTACGGCTTGAGCGCTGGTTGCTGTAAGGCTCATTGGAGGCATCGGAAGGAATTACTCTGCGCTTGCTTTCTGAAGAAGAAATACAAATTTGTTACTTATGTACTTTTTAAAAGTAGCTTTCTCAGCATGGAGACTACAAATTTGACTGTCTACTTGGACTTGATGTGATTGTATGGAAGTTGTGTTTCCTGATGTTTGAGCAGCAAGAGGCCTTGTCAAATGAACCAACACTGTTAGCACATTATCATTTGTCATCAAAAAAGACAAATATCAAAGTAAGCAATCCCTTCGGAGAAGTGTGCTCCAGTAACAGTTGGAAGCTTGTTCACTATATGACCACGAGTTTAATTTATAAGCTTCTTGATATTTAGTGGAGATAAAACCTGAACAGCTCTAGCAATTCTAATTTTCGTGTCCGTTACCTATTAAACCATAGTTTAGCTATGAATAAACCAAGAGAAGTTGACTGGGGAATTTTACTCCAAAATTTCTCGCCAATAGCCAGTTATGGTGAGCAAATAACACTCCTTCAAGCGTTCAACCGCTGGYCATTTATAGTATCAAAGTTACAGAGTCATTTTAAAGTACTATGAAAAGAACATTGCCTTGGTAGCATATAGTTGCTATGGAATTCAGAGAGAGCTACATAAAAGCACAATTTTGTTCGTCCGTTTAAATTCAGTTATTTCAGAAGAAAACAATCATTTCATTGATTCAATGTTTGTCATTTGTTCTCGTTTGCAAAGTAATTTCACTGGCATACATGTGGAGTAAAAATATCACGGCATTGAAGACGTTTGACAACTGAACATTTGCACAATTCAGTGCAAAATATACAATATAAAACAATCATTAAATGCATTGAAATAGCTTCTACTAATACTTTCTTAATGTAATTACTTGATTCTATTTCCAATATGCGGAACGCCACAGTTACTTATGGTATGGTTACATTAAGATACGTACGTTTTCATGTGATTATCGACATTATCCAGTTTAGAATTAATCGATTTTCAAGATCCTTGCTCTCAGCTAGAGTAACACATAGTTACAAGCATGTTTCCCTTTTGAAGACTTAACATGTGGCTGTGCATGGCAGTTTGGTGGTATTACATAAGACTCTTATAGACTCACTCACTTTACGTTAGTGATTACGATTCAGTACTTGTTTGCTAGTTAATTGCGTATTGGACACGATAATCTTTTTTTATTAAATCTCACCATCAATGCAGATCACTGGGTATTTCTACATGGCCTGCTAGTGGGCTTGCTTYATGTCAGTCGAAATCATGAATGTTACATTTACAGCAATAGGTTTGAGTGAATTTCTGAACTGTACCATGTGCAGAACGTTACTTGCTGGCTTTATATGATTAGCTGATTAATAGCAAATGATACACTGTCTAAACCGTTGCAGCGCTTACCACGAGGTGAAACTGAACTTGGCAACCTGAATCMGTTTCAAGCTAAATTGAGGAATATTCCGGAACCTAGTGAACTAAAAGCCTCGATGTATCCAAGCTTGAAATGGCGTCAATACTTCATCGTTCACTGAGTTTCAATTGCAGCAAAGACTATTTTCAAATACTTTAAGTTTTACGTTGAGATGTTTAGAATATTCTCGTCCCTATTTATGTTGGTAAACAAGTATACGTCGTTGAGAAAAAATGTTAAGAGAAAAAAAAATCTTTATGCTCTTCTTTTGTGGACGGCGTGACCATTACGTCGCCATTAGATCTGGTTAGAGACGATTGTAACGATTTAGATGAAACATTGTAGCTGTTACCTTAATGACCACATTGAAGATGTTTGACCTATAGCTATTTATCCCTTGCTCAAATATGTCTAAATGCTCTGAGTTATATAAACTGACAGACTCAATTACAGAATCTTCGCAACACCATGTGCAAGTTTACCTTTAAAATTGGACATCGTGTACAAACATCACTCCAAAAAGTGATTATGATCTTAAGGATTGTAACTTCATTGCTAAAATGATAAAAGCTTAACGAAAACATTTTCTATTTACTTACTCAGTTCAAATTCCCAAAAATAAAGCTCAAAGCAACTTAAGTAATGCAAGCCGCAAAAAGTAACTGTTTAAAAATAATCTCTAATTCAGGAAATGGTAGGTTGTAGTAACTACATGCCGGTCTAAGCAAGGTAAAATTTCTCAACTTACTTTAAGTACGCAGATGCAAATTGTTTTTATCCAAATGAGGAGTTTGTGGATGATTTCGCATACGCCGTGTTTTGTCCGTTAGGTTCTGAAGTAAATAACAACTGAGAGYAGCACAATACATCGCGATATTTAATTTTATTCAACGTTGAGTTTGAACCTTCTAGACACTTCGAGCCTGATGGCTATGACGTCATAGGCTTGCCGGATGCACAAATGAAACAATGTAACAGAAGTTTCAACTTTAACCTGCGTTACGAATTCTCGAGTGTGCCTATAATAGCTCGTAATGATCTTGCTTTGTTGTCACGATAACACAGACGTGCTGAAGTTTGCAGACATCATTTTTCTCAGTCAAACTTTTTTTCAGCTCTYTACTCGTCGCGTGTCTGTGCGTTGGTTAAACAGAGAAAACGGAGACCTGAGGTTCTTTCTTCAGCTCCTAGTGGAGGAGCTCATGGAGAACACGTTACAATCAGCAGGAGAGGGATTGTATTTTCTGCTCATTGTTAACTGGAACGCATGATTAAAACACGTTCAAACCGGCTATTTTTCGCGTTTGCTAGTAATRCCAATAAAAATGTTTGCCTTCAACTATCCACAAMATTATAATCTCCACAGGAAACCCGACGATAGACAGCCTGCGACTTCAGACCAACACGTTTCAGTATCGGCGACATAAAACTGCATCTCGAACCTTCCCTTCCACGACCCCTGGGGACTAGCAGAAACCTTAAAAAGACCTGTTTTCACAAAATTCACATGCTCTTTTGATCGTTAMKTATGTAGGCCATCACTCAATTTTCTATGAAAAAGGCAACATGGCGATGAATGCCATCAGAAACTCGGAAACTACATTGTAGTTTGCGGAAACTCATTATAGAGGTGCACTAATACTGTATGTTTGTTCCGGTCTTTTAATATATCGCTGTAAACCTGTTAACTGAATATAACTCATGTGTTTCATGGTACATGTGAACTTGCTTTTGTTTTCTACACTAAAAGACCAAGACATTCTATGAAACATGTTTCGTSTATTGACCTTTTCAATCATTGGTACGTCATGTGCTTTTTTTATTCCTTTAATCAAATATATCGACTTAAAATATCTTACAGTTTTCAGTATTTTTTTAGACCTTCGAGTAGAAACTGGTCGACATGCGCCGTTAAATCGTTGCAATCTCATGATGTAATTGATGACAGCGTTAAGTAGTTGACCCTGTTCAAAATTGACCCCAGCCGCTTATCTTCCTCGATTTATACTGTAACGACTTGCTTCGAAACATTTCTTGAACCTTCGTGGTCTTTCGTGACAGTGTTAGAACATGATACCCTCTCGATTGCATCACGTCTTGTGATGGGATTCCTGTGTTGRACGTGAAGTTTGGGCACAGATCGGATTGCATCTGAGTTCATAAGGATCATCTGCTTACWGAAAGATRTTCGTCATTACATCAACTGCGTGCTATATGACACTATTCGTGATTTGTGTCAACAAGATGGCTGAGTTTTGGAAAGCTTCCGTCCCTGTCTTTAAATTTTTTGACATTTTGCTATGCTTGCTTAAAAGCGGCTACAATGGTGCTTGGCTGATCTAGTTCTAATGTATTATATTCAGGTTATAAAARTAGTAGCTATACATGATATTCCCGGGTGAATATTTGATCTATACATTCAGTTTTCATTGCACCTTTACAAACCTAGTTCCCATTGGATAGTTTACCTAGTTCCTTCACCATTTAATCATTTATGGCTACGCGCTGCCCAGCAATTTATTAAATAGAACGCGGCTAAAGGCCATCCACATTTTACAAACATTTTTTACGGGATCAGTAGCGAGAAATTAATGACTCTTTTTTGTCCCATTTTCTTCTTTTCCTTTCTTGCTTTTGTGTTTGATTCTTGCGTATGGTCCAATATTTGGGTCTGTGATGAATTCATARATGACCCTGATCCACGAGTCATGGTGCTTTAGGTTATTGTAGTACTCTGGAGCGATYTTCTTAATGAGGGGAAGTCTTGAGCCTGGGACACTTGGGAAATCATGRTGCTCATTATGGTAGCCAACATTAAAKGTKAYCCARTTCAGRGGCCCGTAGTAGGAGAAGGTTTCTTGTCCCTTGAGGAACATGTAATGCTCAGCAATATAGTGCCCTGCTGCGGGATGAAGGCCCATTCCAAGKAGGGTTGATGCAACTAGGTARACAAGGTACTTCCAGCCAAACCAGTGAACAAGAAGGCCATCAACAGCAAGCTGCAATATGGCATTAGCAATCTCCAGTGGCAATGGCTTCTTAGGGTTGACAAATACAGGACGTAGTGAGTAAAAGAATGGAATCAAAAACACGTATAGAAACTTCGTTGCTGTATTGGCGAAGAARCGACCTTCCCATTCAGTTGGCAAATCAGGGTCCATTTCCTCGTCACCAAGGTAACGATGATGATCGATATGCCATTTTTTAAACGACACAGAGCATGGGATCCCAATTGGCAAGTTGGCAACGAAACCAAACAGTCGATTAAGCAGTGGTTTTGAGTTTCCAAACACAATGTTGTGAGATATYTCGTGGAGGGCGACTAGTAATCCATTGTTGATGACGGCACCTACAAGATAGGCCATCACTATAAGCCACGTCCAGGAAAAGTCTTTGACAATGTATGCTATGCAAAACTGTAGCACAACAAGGAAAAGAACTTGGTACTTGAAGTTAGGGTCGAATCCCATCAGCTTCTTGATCTCTGGGTATTTTTCTGGAAAATCAAAAAATTTTGAATTCATCGCTCTAGTTACAGAATGCAATTATTACTTCTATACCTCATGGTATAATGGCAATTATGACGTAGATCGATGTTGATAATGATGTTGSTGATGATGCTGATGACGATGATTTCATTATCGTAACTGAATGTGTTTCAGAAACCTTTGGAAAAAGGATTGCGACGGAGAATTGACTCAACCTGATTTTCAATGGGATCAATTTGTTTCTAAAATTTCTCTGTAATTTCTCTGTATTGGGAAAAATCGCGCGCTCTAAAAGGTTGGAAATTTGATGTAAATATTATGTAAGTGTCCAAAATGATGTAAATTTGATGTAAATGATTTATAAACTTTTTGCGTAGTTGACGTTGAAATCCTTTTCTTTAATTAAATAAACAACTACAACTATTACATACAAAAAGACATTAAATTACACTACACTACAATGCTCTGAATAACGAAAATTAAAATTTACGTTGAAACCCATATATCAAACTTTGTTTTTGAATTCCTAATTATATGAATTCTTAAAATAAATATAGCCTAAGGGGAATTATATCGCGATGCATCTTACAGTCRAAGAGTAATAATAATAATAAATATTCATAGAAATGCACGACTTCTAGTAATAATGATAATATAGCAAACTGAAGAGACTTACTGTATATGATATTTATGATACTGAGCGACAATATGTTCTCGTTCTCAATCTTGTTTATACTTTGTTTTCCTCTTAAAGCAATAGAAACTTGAACACCTGAATGAGTTTGAATACCCGTGCCGCGTATCATGCGTGAACATAGTAAGTTTTAACAATCGTAACTCTAGCTGAATTAACGCCGCAATTCCAAAAAGCGAGAAATGTCCAATTGAAAGCAAAATCAAGCTGTGCGAGCTCACATTCAGTCCAAAAATACTGCAAAAAGATCAAAGCTCACAATGGAAAAAGACAAACATTTTCTGTCTCAAGAACAAAAGTATTTAAAGCATCCTTTCTTTYAGTTTTAAACTTTATCTATGAAAATATAGAAAGAACAGTTTTGAGTCTAGTTCAGTTTAAATGATGTTGTAATATTTAAGAGTTATGAATACAATGATCCATAGTGTTTTMGAGAAAATGAGGCGCCAAATTGCGCACTTCCAACTCTTGTTTACTTTCACCACTCCCTGCGTTCTTACCGAGAATTTCTTTTCGTCTGCTTGCATGGGGCTCTTCGGTATAAGACCATTCAAAATCGGTGCGAGATACCTGGCCGCCCATGTTGTAAGTTGAATCTGAAGGTAGGTATGATTAGTTGAGTGACGTTTATAGCATCAATCATGCTTCAGTTTGCATTGAAAAAGTTGATGTTGCGTGACTAMCAGTGCTATAGTATTTAAACATTTAGACCGAATATAAAGAAAAGGCAAACACCGGCAAATTAGATTCATCTGCTGA